GTTGACCATTCCTATTGGTGGCACGATAGGCTTTATGCATGCATGAGTATCGCATATGGATCTTGATAGAATCTGAAGTCCCAATATCAAGTGGAGAAGGATACCATGGGCTTGCCGATGAAAGGTAAAACATATGGGCACGGAGTGTGTTGAACATGAGATAACAAGTCCCTCCCATCACAAGAGGTCAATTGGCGCCAAGCTCTTGGAGTCGATACCTCCAAGATTTCAGAACTTAGGATGATTTCACCCAAGTTATCCCTTTTCCCTTAGTTTATTTCAGTTTTTTATGATGTATTGTTTGAATTTTATAATAAATGAAAGTTATTTGGTTTCTTCTAATCTAAACTCCAAATTGTCAAATAAGGCTTGAATTAATTATTGTGCATCACTTATGTGTCGCTTAGGCCTACCTCAGGCTCAACGAGGCTCCTTTGCATTTAGGGCATTTATCTTAAAATAATGTGTTTGATATCCCAATTTATGTAGTGTTCTAACTTGGGATTTGTTTTTCTTTTATTTTTTTATTCCCTTTACCAATTCCCAATGGCTGATCTGTAGACCATGGCTTATCACACGCGATCAAAGAGTTCACTTCCTCCTCTTCCGACTGAGAATTGCAAAGGAAAAGTGAAAGCAACTAATGCTAGGGTTATGTGCAAAACTATTGAAAAGAAGTGTCTTTCAGATGAGTTGGTATCAAATCTTGAGTAGAAAATAAAGAAGTTAGAAGAAGAGGTGGCATGCGCGAGTGGGAAAAGTTGTTACTCTCCTCCAATCCCACTTTGGAGACAAACGTGGATATGTCACCTTTCGCAAGTCAAGTCACTCTCCAAAATAATCCTTCTCCAGATTACTCTACCTCTCAAAGTCAACCAAGCTCCATTCAAATGCCTTCAAAGAACATCTACTTTCCAAATCACCCATATCCTCCGCAACATCAAACATATGCTCTTAAACCTCAACATCTTACTTCACACCTGCATCATCCTAGTATGCAAGCCCCTCAATATGAAACACCTCTGCACCAAGTTCCCTGGCATCATGCGCCTCTCATACCACTTTCAATCCCTCCATATCAAATGTCTCTGTACCAAAGGCCTCCTATACCATATCGACAACCAACATATCCTGGACATAGTGCCAAAGTCGTCACTCGACTGCATATACGCAAAAACCTCTTCAAGGTTGAGGAGAGACTTGACAAAACTTATACTCCTCTGATTGAGCCTATAGGCCAACTTTTTGAAAATTTGAGGATCGCCGGTCACATAGCTCCTATCCATGAAATAAGGATGACTACGCGTGCATCGTGGATTGAACCCTCCAAGACTTGTGCTTATCATTCAAGAATAGAAGGACATACAATAGAAAAATGTCGTGATCTGAAAGACAAGAATCAACAACTGATTGATACTAAGTCCATATCCTTGGAGGACTTTGCAACAAAGGAAGTTCATATGTGAACGCACCAACATCTACTTGATCCAGTTTTCCAAATAAGGCTTGCGCTGTTTAAGTTCATGTTTTCCACATTCATACACCCATGATAACATATGGGCCAATAAAGTTGGTCAAAATCTGCCATTCAGTTGCTGCTCAAGAATGTTCTCAATATCTCGCTTATGCTCTTTTTGTAATTTTGGACTACGTCAAACCTAATTCCCATTTAAGAGGGGATATGTAGGCGCTCCTATGGGGGTTTGGTCTTATCATAAATAAAACTTTCATTTTCCCATTCTATTGATAACTGGGGCAGAATTTTTGAGAGGGTCTCAAAATTTCCATCAAGATTTCTCCTTGCACATCTTCATACTGGGGTATTGCATCAAAAACATTTCTTCTCAACAACTGGGGCAAAATTTTGAGAGGATCTCAAAATTGCTGAAAATCAATACTAGGTAGAAAATTTTGGAGAATCTAATAAAAAAGAATAAAACCAACAGTCAAGCTACAACTACAACAGATCATACTAACAGAAGTTCTACACTCGGGCAGAAATTTTGAGGGGATCTCAAAATTTTCGACAACACTCCGAAGAACATTCTAGCAGACACCAAAAGAGCACGCTGTGCCAAATCATAGATAACGATCAACCTTCTCCCTTTAAACTAACTGTTTTTCTTTGAATATTGAAAATACAGGTACGTATGCAAAGGAAACTTCAACAATCAACATACCACTTTTGATCCCGACAAATGTCACTCGACCCTTCCAATAAGGCAGATGCCCAAGCTACTGTATGCACTCAAGCAACTGTTGTGCTGGCAAATTACATTCTGGCCGATATTGCATCATTTGCACCTACGCCCGATATCACATTATGCTCGAAGAACTACATCATTATATTATGCCCAAGATCGCAGAAACACATCATTGCATGTGCCCGAAGAAATGCATCATTGCATATGCCTGATATACATTGTGCCCGAAAAAATGCATCATTACATGTGCGCGATATTGCATGTGCCCGAAGAAATGCACTATTGCATTGTGCCCGAAATTTGCATAAGCCCAAGATTGCATCGTGCTCGAAGTTTGCATGTGCCCGAATCAAATCAAGTCACAAATATCAATAGATGCCAAAAATAGATACGCTCTCTTCACTCATTACTTATATTCCGAAGGCGTCATCCTCCAAGGGCATCATCTTTCATGGCCTGCGGACTTCATGTCATGGCCTGAGGACTTATTATATGCTTAGCATGTTCCTAGGGAATCATAGTCTAAAGGCATCATCCTCATGGCCTGCAAACATCATATCATGGACTAAAGATTTAATTTTTGTCTATCATGATCCGAAGGTGTCATAGTCTAAAGGTGTCATTTTCATGGCCTAGAGAAACATTTTCATGACCCGATGATACATTTTGCGTATCATGGCTCTAGACATCCTAGCCTAAGAAGTCATTTTCATGTTCTTAAGACAAACATTCATGGTCAATATGGGAATTACATCATGTTTACATTTACTGCTTATTTTGATATATGTGTTCTAATTACTCTATTTAATTTATATTACAAGTTACAGATGTACAGATTACAAATGAAGTCGCCTTCTGAATGACCGTTTTCATGCTTACAAACAAAGACTGTCAAATTCTTGGCTACTTGCATTATCATTCGGCTACTCAGGATACTATTCAGGCTATTCTGGAGATACTATCAGACTCAAACCGCTACTGTGACCTACTGTCTCTTCATCTAGGCTTGTCTGCCTAACAATAAGACATATAGGCTCGTCTGCCTTACAAAATGACATTTAGGGTCGTCTGCCTTACAATGCGACACTTAGGCTCGCCCTTCTTATAATGCAACATTTAGGCTCGTCCGCCTTGCAATGCGATATTTAGGCTCGACCGCGTTACAATGCGTCTAGGCTCGTCCGCCTTATAATGCGACATCTAGGCTCGTCCCCCTTACAACGTGACATTTAGGCTCATCTTTCTTATAGGATATTTAGGTACGTCTGCCTTAAAACGACAGTTAGGCTTGTCCATCTTATAGGAAATTTAGGTCGTCCTCCTTAAAAGGACATTTAGGCTCGTTCCCATTAAAAGGACATTTAGGTCCTCCTCCCTAAAATGATACTTAGGCTCGTTCGCCTTAAAATGACTTCTAGACTCTTTTGCCTTGCAACAGGATGCTTACGTATATCCACCTTACAAGCAAACATTTTCCTTATATTATATTATCTCTATACTATGAGATCTATTTGAGGTTGACTTTAACCTTCGGAGATGGGTTGCAATTCTTCAACAAGTTAAGCCAAAGTCTACGAGGGCATCTCAAAGCAGATAAGGTTCTTATCACCTCTTGTCATTTATTTAGAACTCATATTTGTTCATACTTTATAGATTTATAAGCTAACATTTTATCTTGAATTTGCAGATATGATTGATCCCCCCTTGATTACAATTATCATGCTATCATCTATCGCAACGAAGACCCTATCAATTCTTTGATACTCATAAACCAAAACTTTCTCAAAGGTTGATAACCTCACTCTATGATGCTCTTCTCGCTTCTCTATCATGCTCTTTTAGCCTCTTAATCTCTCTTCTCGCTACTCTAATCTTATCCATTCAAGCGGACATCGTGCCCTCCAAATACATTAGCGCTGTTTCAACTTTTAAGAGTTTCATTTGCTCTTGAATTTAGAACTACATACGACCTGATTCTCGTATAACAAGAGATATGTAGGCGACTTAATATCAAAGTCTCGCTCGTACCATTTTTCAACTCTATATCGTTTCAATTGAACCAAGTGACATCTCTCGTCGGTCGGACAAAATCGGCTACTAAGTCAATGTTGGTTGCCTGACAATTCATTCTTCATTCTCAATCAACCAAGGGGAAGCTGTTGACACCCAATTTTAACCGACCTTTAACCTTTTTTAGGAATGCTATTCGATTAAATACACATTTTTAAATTTATTTAAAGTTTAGAATTTTTAGTTGATTTTGCTTGAAAAATATATATTTAGTATGTTTTACTTTATAAAATTATCGTAAATATTACGAAAATATTTTAAAATTATTAATGAATTTCAAATGTTTTAAAATTTAAATGATTTTCAATTATACAAAAAATATTTTAATATATGTAGTATTTTTATTAAATAGTAATTCCTATACTTTCCTTAAAATTATTTAAATTCCATCCTATTCTATTATAATTTCTTTCAACGCTAGTCACTCCAATCAAATTTTATTTCAATCATAACTCCTCTTTCATTTCAATTTAATTGAAATTGTAGCTATTCCATATTCAATCCAATCTGATTTCAATACATCTCATCTTTTAATCTCATCCATCTATTTATTAGTCGAATCTTAAACCTTCATCTTATTAAATCAACGGTTGAGATCAAATCCTTCTTTTTCCTATTTTGAACTATCAAAGATCTAAACCTAAGAAGATTAACATTTTTTTTCATCCTCTCTTCCTCCTCCTATCTGCTCCTGCGGCCGCCCAATCATTCTCCTCTCTTTCCCCTTCATTCTCTCCATTTTTTCCGGCGAGACAGCCACCGGCGAGGATGGCAATTGGCGTTCGTCTCTCTTCCTTCACCTCTTCTCCCTCTTTTCCCCTCTCTCCAGTCGACACCCCTCTCTCGCATCACTTCTCTTCTTTCTCCAAGCCCCCTCTCCCTCTTTTCTGCTTCTCCCCTCTTCTCCTCCTCCTTTCTCGCAACAGCTGCGATCAGCAGGCCCAACGCCCCCCCTCTTTCCCTCTTCTTCCCCACTTTATCCCTCCGTTCTTCTCCTCTAACCGACCCTCTCTCTTCTCCTCTTTTCTCCAGCGATCCCTCTCCCCTTCCTTCTCTCCTTTTCTCCTTGGCGCCTCCCTCTCCCGTCGTCCCCTTTCCACCCTCCTCTTCCTCCTTTTCTTTTCTCTTTGCAGGTCCAGCAGACCGACAGAATCCCAGGTGAGCTCCACCAACAACAGCCAGTAGCAGGCAAGTAGCAGTTGGCGGAGCCTCCCTCTTCTACCGCTTCTTCCTTCTCTTTTCTCCCTGTAATGCTTCCTCCTTGTTTCTTCCTCTCTCTATCCCCTCCCGTCTTCTCTTGCCTCCTCTTTTCTCCTTCCCTCACCAATCTCCCCTTATTCTCCTTTTGCAGGGACAACAGAACTCTAGTCGCGTGCTTCTCCGGTGAAAACAGCAGCAACCCCCACGCAATAACCTGCAGCAGCTCAAACAGTCGAGGCCACAGTAACATCAACAACCCCAGGCAGTTGCTCCGGCCAGCAAGGACGGATAACAGCAACAATGAACCCTCAAAGCCCATCAGTCTCTATTCCTTTCATCTGCGACAAAGTTCAAGTCAGATCTCAATAGATCCGTCTCCGGTATAAAAATCTTATTGTTTATTACTTCATCCGTTCAATTCTTTATGCTTCATATATTCTTGTCAATAATGTTTACTATGTTAATTATACTTGTTATTGTTTTGTTCATTAAATGTTGCAAATTGCAATTTGAGATTGTTTGAAGGTTCTTTTGCGTAGGTTTGTTTTTCAAAGAAAAAACAGTCTGTTAACACCCTTGTTTTACTTAGGCTCTTAATTAATTTCCGCATGTTATTGAACTTAGAATTAAAATAATTTGTATCTTAATTTGGTTATTTATAATTTAAGTAATTGTTAGTAATATAATGGTCTACCTTGATTGGTTTTTATGACATATCTATATATGGTAGATGAATTTTTGATAAGTCTTTGCTCATTTTGGTAAAATTAATAAAATTGTGTGTTCTTGAAAAAAAAAAGATTTATTTAGTTGGAAAAATATTTGTTTACTGATTTGAGTCTCTCTTATTTAAGGAAAATAATATTGATTAATCCCTCTTTCCTTTAATATTTGGCTTGATTATTCTTACTAGGTTGTTTATGGCAACCTTATATTTTGTTGTTCATGTAATTGGGAAAATAAATTAAAAATAAATTTGATTTTGACTCTTCTTCACTTAAGGAAAATATAAGTTTTATTCCTTATTTTATTTCATACTTGTTTATATTTAGAAATGATATGTTTTAATAAATTTGATTTGGCCCTTCCTTATTTATGAATATACTATTCTTCCTAATTTATTCTTATTTATTTATATTTTGTAGCATAGTAATAATTTAATATTATTTTGAAGCTTCTTTCTTTAAGGTAAAAGAATATTGTCTTCCTAACTTTATTGTTACTTATTTATTTTTGGTAATGAGCATTTTAAATATTTTTTCTTATTTTCGGCTCCTCTTTATTTAAGAAAATATATATTACTCTTCTTATTTTATTACTTGCTTATATTTGGTAAAAATATTTAAATAATTTAACTAATTTGACTTCCTTCAAAATAAGAAAATTGTGATTTAATTGACTCCTCAATTTATCATATTTATTTTCCTTATTTGTTCCCCCCTCTTCTACTATATAAAGAGAATTATTCATTCTTTATCACAGACATTCACATCTTGAGAAGAACTAACATTTTCCCAACTCACACTAAACTCAGTAGTTCTCTCTCTCAACACAAGAACTAGACTCCTTTCTCTCTCATTGCTCTCTTACTACTCTTAAAAAATAACTTAAGATTTCGGTAAAATATTCCAGTGCTTATCTTTGCTACTTTGCTTTTGTTCGAACAAAAGTTGGATTAACTTGTTTTTATTGCTACTATTTCTTTTCTACTTAACCGGTTTATTCTTAATTAGTATTTTACTATTAGTTAGCTTTCTATTTTTTTTGTTTTACATTTATTATTATTGTTGTGTGGAAGCACTCCTTATCTTTTTACCCTATGTGTGTTTATATGTCTATGCCTATGTTTTGTCTTTTTTATTTCTTATGTGTGTTGTTTATATATGTATATATGAGAGTAATTGGTTACTATGAATATTTTACATTACAATCATTCTTCCATTGTATACGTGTTACCTTACTTATTCTAGCAGGTTTTGGACTTAAAGTTCTAGGTGATGAAGAGTGTCCTAGAAGAAATTTCGGACAAAGCTTTGTTTATTTTAATATTGTATATATTTTCATCTGTTATTTTTTTTTACAATATGTGTATAACTCAAAAGCAACTCTTATATAAGAAGCAATTTGGGGGATTGCCTAGGGAGGGGGAATTATGTGTTAATCAGTTTTTATTGCGAACTTGCTTGTGTTTAAAAGCATGCCTATAAGTTCATAATTTGTGTGATAAATATTTACGTGATAAACTAATTTTAGATCTAACCAAAAAAAAATCTTATTCGCTCAATCATTTTGTTAATTTTCCCAACTAATGTTTGAAGTTACTTTTATCCCATTTGGTGTGTTATGCATTCATATGTCATTGGAAGTTAGAAATCATGCCTTTAGGTCTTATTTAAATGTGTTGATGATTAAATCACTTAGAAATCATATTTAACTAATTTTAGCATGTTCCTAATTATTTTTTTTCTTTACTTTGTCATTTTAGCATGTTAAACACCTAGAGATCATGTCAATAGGCTTGTAAAATTTTCAGCATATCAATAACTAAATAAAATTCGTTGTGCATATTTTGATACTTTTTTAAAAATAAAACAATTCCTATTGATTTATTGCATCTAATAAGTTTACTATATGTTAAACATAATTTGGGTATTAATAAATAAATTTGCTATTATTAAATGCTCTCAATTAACTAATTTTTGCATGTTACACATTGTTTAAAATAATTTCCTGTACTTAGAATATTTTGCTACTGCTTCTTTCTAAAATAATTTTATGTATTAAATCTATTGTTGTTCTTAAAATAAATTTTCTTCCTAAATAAATAAAATTTGTTGTCTTAAGTTATATTATTCATGAATAATTAAAAATTCTCTATTATTTATAAGTGTTTGTGGATCATATCCGTTGTTACTTGAAAATAAAAATAAAATTTTTTATGTCACTAATAATCGCTCACTCTAATTTTAGTTCAACACTAAAATCTACATTCATGTCATATTTTTGCCCTCATAATTAATCTTTGCTTTGTTATTATCACTTTGTATGCTCACGATCTTAGCATGAGAACCTTCACCATTATGTTGTTTGCAAGCATGTCTAATTGATTTTTTAGAGGCCAAATTGAGACTTGTATTGCTAAAATGACCATCTTGTTTTCCTTGTTTGTTTTACTTGGTGTCTAGGAGAGCCTTATATTCCATTTTGTCTAAACCCATCCCATTAAGAGTCCAAAGCCTCTTGGTTATTAAGTTGGAACGATTAGGCACCTTTTAGGTACGTTATGCATGCGGTGGTTGGGTAGGGGTAGTTGGCCCTACGGAGATGATGACATCGACTCAGGCTTGAAAGACAAACTTTGGTTTTGTCTTTCCCTATAAGACAGCCTAACGGAAAATAAAAGAAAAGTCGAGTGCTGATCCAAAAGTCTCTTAGAGACTCCCTTCCCTTTGTCCCTTTATTTGTTTGTTTAATCATACTTATTTGGGGGTAGATTAAAAAAATATTTTTTTTGTTTTCTTATTTATTTGTCTCTTTTCTATCCTGTCGCTTATTTCATTATTAATTTGTTAATATATATTTTATTGTTATCACTTAGTCTCGCATGCTTTAATATTAATTAAAATAATAACATGAGCTATTTGTTCGATTTATTTATCACATAGTCTCTTACGTGAAATAAATAAAAATGAGCTTTATTCTTTATTTATTTGTATCACCTAGCCTTGCATGTTTAAATTAACTAAAAAAAATAAAAATTTAATTGTTTAATATTATGTCACAACTTAGCAAGTATAGTAATAAATAATAATGAAGTGATCTTGAGTGCTACTTGTAACCACCACATAGATTGCATGAGATATGGTCGGGAGCCACATTTGTGGACCTTGAGGGATGCCTAACACCTTCCCCTAGAGGTGATTTGAACCCTTATCCTGATCTCTGGCTCGTTGACCTTAGCTATTAGTTAGGTTAGAGAGGTTCCCTAACGCGCCTTAATTCGTTAGGTGGCGACTCCTTGAACTCAAAGTCCCAAAAGAGTTGTTAGGTCGTGCAAAAAGTAGTGCTATGTAGTGCAAAAAGTAGTGCTACGTAGACCGAAAAGGGGTAGAAAATTACTTATAAAATAAGTTCAAGGAGCTATTAGGACCTTAGTATACTATAAGTGTGTCTCTAGGATTCCAAGTATAAGTTGAGAGGGTACTTGTGCATTTTCCTAAAAGAAAAAAATAAAAAAGTTGTGAAATAAATTTGACAGTTATAAAAAGAAAAAGGGAGTTTTCGACACATTATGGAAAAATGAATAAAGAGATGACTTGTGAGCACTAATGAACTTGATAAAGGAAAAGAAGTGTTGTGAGTACCACATTTCATGAATATCATAGTCATTGAGCCTAAATGACAATACCTTTGCACTCAGCCCCATAACAAGCAGTGGCGGAGCCAAGATTTTCAATGAGGAGGTTCAGAATTTGTAGAAATAGACACACAGAGCAGCGGAAGGGGGTTCGACATCTACTAATATATACATAAAATATTATTTTAACCATGTATAGATAGTGTTCGTACCAAGGTGGCTCCGCCCCTGATTACAAGCCTTAAAAAGACCTTTTTGATCTTGAGAAAGATGAAACAAATGTTGATAGTAAAATAAGGGCAAACCTATGGGTGAAAGCATGCATTGTGTTCTTCTTCGTGAGAGTGAGATTTTTATTTGATTCCCGAACCTTAAATAATTATACATCATATGTGTGAGAATGAAATCATCATTTGTGTGAGGAAATTTGAATGCTTTTGTTGAGCTTGAACTTGTATTTGAAGCAAGTATTGGGACCTTGTGAATCTGTGGTAATGGTTTGTCACAACTTGAATCTTTAGGTACACAATTGATCCTTGCATATGTAGATTGAGTCTTGTTGTGTACATTCATGATTGAATCTTGTGTTGCACTGTTTGAAACATCATTTTTGAACTTTTGAACTTGAGTTTTACTTGAGGACAACCAAAATTTTAAGTTAAGGGTGTTAGTGAGTCCACACATTGGACTCATTTAGGGCTATATTTTGATAAAAATATTATCCTGAAATGCTTGTTCTGTCTCAATTACTGATGAATAACCTTGAATTTCAAGTATTTTGAGTTTGACGCAAAACAGGAACGCTAGTTGGTTAAAAAGAGCAAAAAGGATGAGAAGCATGAAGAAATGAAGGCCTAAGGATCGCCGAGTCCACTTGGTAAATCGCCGATAGGTCTGAAGATAGCCTTTTGTTCCAATGTGCTGAGCTGTGACGAAAAGGATCAAATCGGAAATGAAAAGAA